ATAGACAGTATTATAGCAATGACATTCTGTCAATCAGTTGAAATAGGATACTTGTAACTATGGTTGCATCAGCATGACTGACAGGTCTGGGCATCTGTGTAACTTGTTACACAGAGGAATACAAACTGATACTGGGCTGTGCAAACCTAAAATAAGTTCTCGGGCTATATAAATCTGTAGAACTAAGAAGCTGGAGCCTACTTAGAAATTCTGAGCAAAGAGGTAACATAGATCTTCGACAGTACTACTGTAAAGGCTAGACCTAGAAAATGGATACCAATGTGAAGGATTTGGGCAGACAAGAACCTCAGGTGAGAGGTACTACCAACCAGGCTACCGGATTTTGGATTGGAGGAAAAGAATATTAAGAACAGGTTACAGTCCTTCTGGACTATCTGAATTGGGAGTTTGGGTTCAAAGCAGAAGTATATTAAAAGTACTAAAGATATGCTATGAAGTCAGTACTGAGGTCTGGGTAAACTCTGTAAGAGTAGCCTGTGTTAGTATTCTAAAAGTAGGTAGATAGTTAACAACAGGGGGCCCTCTGTGCCTTACTGGCAGGTGACATACTCTGAAATGTGTAATGGCCTGAAAACCAGTACAAAAAGGATAGATACCATACTGCTTAGACAGTATACTGAGTAGGTATATACAAAAGGTTAGTTGGGAATTTTAATATGACAAGGCAGATAATTAGAGGGTTTAAATAAATAATCTTCTAGTAGGTTATAGGTATGGCATCTAGTATAGAACCTTAGGGTAAACTACTTAAATAGATAACCAAAAGTTGCATACGTGACTAGCTGTACTCTTATTTCTGTAAAAATAGTTGTAATAGCTAACCTGATATAAAGTTAATAAAGTATCGCCACAAGTATGGTTTTAACAAAAAAAAAAAAAAATCTACAAAAAACATCTAAAAGATTAAGAATTTACAAAAGTTACAAAGTTAATTTACCTTTTATTTTTAGTTTTTTTTAAAAAATATTTTGTAAAAAGTAAGTGATTTAGTTTATTTTTTTTAAAAAATTAATATATAAAATCACTAAAATGATTAGCAATATTTATTTTCTAAATAGATTTGTTAACAATATAAATCAGAAATAATACAGCAATACAAACATGACTATATATATATCTTAAGCTAGTAAAAACTTGTTAATACTGTTTTTAAACTAATCAGTACCTTATACTAATTTTTTACAACCAAGTTAGAGTTTTTTTTTTATATAGTTTTTTGTTAAATAATCCAAGTAAATAAAAAAATATTAGAATTATTTTTATTTAATATAATTTATAATTTTTAAAGTCTAACATAGACTTATAATTGTAACAGTTTGATATTTATAAATTACAAATTTTATATATTTTCTTTTTTCTTATTTATCTTCTTTCCTTTTTTATTTTTTAATTTGTATCTTTTATTATTTATTCTTATACTTTTGTTTTTATATAAAAAATTTTTTTAGTTTTTTTGCTTTCTTATATAAAGATGTTATTAGATTAATAATGTTTTATTATAAGATAACAGTTAGATAAGTAATCTATTTCTAATTAAGATAATACAATAAATTACATTTAAGTACTATTTAAATAGTTGAATAATACTAAATTTGTATATTAAAAAATTTTATAAAATTTATATAGTTTTAAAATTTTTAATAAAATACTAGCATAATTACTAAAATTAAAAAAAATAAATAAAATAAAAATAAATATAGTAATTATTATTAATATAAACTTAATAAAAGCAAAAAAAAAATACTTATTGTATAGGAGTATGGTGACCTAGTGAAGTGAATAGATTGTCAACTTTCAAGTAGCAGGTCTAAGGTTTAATTCTTATAGATGATGAATTTTAGAAATTATATTTATATTACAGTAATTGTCTTTTATTAATCAGTTAGGTTTTGAGTATCTGCAATCTTAAGTACATCAAGTTAGGTTTCATCTAATATTAGAAGCTTGAGGCATTTATACAAAGTATACTATTACATGTATATAAAGAAATGTGACTACTGAGTATGAAAGGCTAAGAAACTAAAAAGATAGAAATTCACTTAAAAATTCTAAATAAAAAAGTAATACAAACTTTCAATAATGCTGTTGAACTAATAGAAATCTATAAAATATCTTCATAGGAATTGTTAGATAAATCAGATGATAAGATGTATAGAAGAGCATATTATCAACCAGGCTATCAAAATCACTAGAAAAAATAAATATATAAGTATATTATATTGGACTATCTGGATTGAAAGTCTGAAAAGTTTATTGAGAAAACAAATATCAGAATTTGAATGAACTTTATAAGAATAATAACAGTTTAATGAATAACCCTGATTGCAAATATTGGTTTTAGCTATAGTAAAAAATTCAGATTAGTAGTAGATAAAAAATATATAACTTATTCTGATAGGTTTACTCTTAAGAATAAAATTGTTTTAAGGTTAAGACAAGAATCTAAATACAAGTAATCTAATAAAGTTAGTATAAGAGTTTCAGATTAGAGTGTTTAAATAAAACATCTAAGCAGAAATGTTAAATATAACAACTAGTGAGAAACTTCTAGGTGGACTTCTTAAATAGGTAATATAAAAAAGTTACACATATAATCAGTTGTATACTCATCATGATGTCTGACAAAAGTATTAATAAAGTTAAAAAACCAAAGAAGTCATCTTAAATACCAAAAAAATTTATATATATATTTATTATATATATAATGTAATATATATAAGATGCAAACAATAGAAACAACTTATTTTTATATTTTGTTAAAAAATGAATTTTTATTATATTTTATATAAATTTTAATATAATTAATATTTTTTAATTAGGGATATAATAACCTAATGAAGTGATCAGATTGTTAATCTTCCAAGTGGTAGTTTAGGTGTTCAAATCCTATTGATAATAAAATTTTAGATAATCACCTATGTAATCTGATATTATGACAACTGTTTCTAATGATTAAGTTAAGATATCTTTAATTATAGTTGTATCAGTATAACTAGCAGGTTATGAGACATCTGTATAACTTGTTATACAGAGAAATGTAAACTGAAAAATCAGGTAGTATGAATCTAAGATAAGTTCTTGTAGTTATGTAAATCTGTAGAATTTGAGGAACAAGAAACCTATTTAGAAAGATCCAAATAAAAAGATAACACAGATTTTTAACAGTACTACTATAAAGGCTAAATTTAAGAAACATGTATCAATGCTAAAATAGCTAAACAAACAAGAACTTCTGAGTTGAGAGTCTCAGAGGTACTATCAACCAGGCTGTCAGATTAGATTAGAAGAAAAAGATATCGAGCTGATCTAATATACTAATAGACTGGTCATAGTTCTATACAGACTATTTGGATTGAGAGTTTGATAAAAGAAGCAGAGATATACTAAAGTACTAGAGATATGCTGTAAAATAGGTACAGAGGTCTGAATGAACTCTACAAGAGCATAGCAGTTTAATAATTAATCTTAACTACAAGTGTTGGTTTTGCCATAGTAATATCTAGGTTAACTGCAAAAATAAATAAACAGCAAACTCTAATAGGTTTATCTTAAGAATAAAAATGTCCTAAAGTTGAGACAAAAGATTCAGGCTTGATCTGATAAAGTAACATAGAACACATTCAGAAGGTTTAAATAGAACACTCAAGCAGAAATATTAGATACAGCAATTGGTGAAGAATATTAGATGAACTTCTTAAATAGATAATATAAAAAGTTACACAAGTGACCAATTGTATGTTCTTCTTGTAATAGCTCCTTATAGAACTACATTTTTAAAAATATGTTAATAAAGTCAAAAGACCAAAAAGGTCATCTTAATATTAAAAAAAAAAATAATAAATATTTTTCAATATATATAAATAAAAATTAAATTTATATAATAAAACATTACATAAGGTTATATAAGCCAACACATTACAAAATTACCTAATAGTTATCTGTTGCTTTCAACCAATCAAAATTGTAAAATTTAATTAATTCTAAATTAGTCCAAAATCAAAACAAATAAGAAAGTGTTAATAAAAACCAAGCAAATTGTTTTTAAGTAAATTTTTTTTAAACTTTAAAGTAAAATATCTCAACAATTATTAAACCAAACTTGATAAAATTTTTTTATTTTAATTTTATATAGTTATAGAATTAAAATAAAAAAAATTTTGTTAAGTTTGGTTTAATAGTTGTTGAGATATTTTAATTTAAAATTTTAAAAAAACATATTAAAAACAATTTGCTTAGTTTTTACTAACATTCTTCCAAATTATTAAACTTAATTATCTCAAAATAAAGTAAATGTAAAATGGGCTGTTTCTATTGTCTGCACTCTATATGCTCTAAACTTTCAAATATATTGATATAACCAAGGTCACAGGTATCTTAACCTAACTTAGTTTAAATAGTATATTGTAATATATAATAATTCTAAATTTTGTTACAAGTAAAATTTAAATTCTAAATCTGTTGTTTAAAAATAACAACTTATCTACTACAAATTATCACACCTTACAATAAAACTATGTAAAATTAATTATTTGATTTTCATAACCCAACTATATTAAAATTTAAAGATTTGTTTTAATAACTAAATGAATTTTTAAAAAAATTTTTTATAAGAAAAATCTAAATTGTAAAAAGACAACGAGTTACCTAGTCGATATTAGCAATTTTATTGATAAACGCACGAAGTGAATAGAGCATTGTTTAGTCTTGTCCATTTTTATATATGAAATTTAAAAAAAAAACAGGCCGGCCGAGTCGGTTTAAAATTTTCATGTTATGAAAATAAAGAAATTAACTCACCTGTGGTGATAAAATCAAATTCACGTGTATTACAGTTTTATGCATCACGTATATATAAATTATATTTTAAAAATTGATCTACATTATAAAAGAGGTTGCAGATGATATGATTGTTTAAAATTAAACTCGGATAAATCGGGGCTATAATTAAATGTAATTTTCATTTTCGTAACAACTTGAAAATGGATCACTTACATTCTCCAACACAAAAACGTCCATTGATAGAAGAGACGAGCTTACCTACACCCGATACCGCACTTCCACCGTCTGATCAGCAGACTAAACGTCTTAGACTTTTACCACCTATTTCAGTAACTCCTCCTCAAGCACCTCCAAACACTCTTCAACCAAAATTTCAACTTCCAATCCCTCCAACCTTACTCGAATCTAATGCAACTGGCTTGTCAAATCTTTCTTTAAATTCCTTATCTGCAACGGATTCTCCAATATTACCAATTGCTTCTCCTAGAGCGCCTTCAGGCCAACAAGAATTACCTTCTATCGATTCTTTAGGTCCTTTACCACCGCTTCCTCATTTCGTTTCAACCACCCCCCCTAACACAATGTCCATATCAGCGATTCTTTCAAATAATGATGAACCATTTATTAGGAAGCTTGACATGAATATCAAGGAAATTGGAATTGGGAATAATTTGACGCAACAGCATAATTCTCATGATTATAAAAATTTACATCATTTAAATAAGGGTGATGAATCATTACCTCTTTCATTACGTTTCGAACATTCTGTCGATGAAAACGTAAGCGATATCCATAATGATGAATTAGCTGAAAAACAGACAGACAAGGAACCAGATCAAAATGATATTGATGACGGAACGCATGATTTAAACTCAGATAATGCTGATGATAATGCAATTGATCATGAAAATAATTATCAAAACGAAAATAATAGAGAAACTGGTGAAGAAGGAAATGAATCTGGGGAAGACAATCAGAGCGATGAATTTTCATTTGATTATTCCTTATTTGAAGGGATAAAGAGAGAGCCACACCTGATTGTTCAAAATGATGAGGCATTAAACATGGAGGGTCGAGAAGAACGACATCTAGGTTAGTTAAAATTGGCTGAACAAAATTTGCGACAGGTTTTATAATAGGGAAAACAAACAACATACATACATTATTTAACTTATTATTGTCCTTTCTCAAAATATAGGGCATATAATATACAATCCGAAAGAAATATTACCACCCTTAGAATTTCATGAGAATGGTTTGTTAGAAGTATGGATTTCTTCTAAACATTTGACGTGGAAAAACAATAAAGTTAGAAGCCATTTTCTATGGGGTACAGATGTTTACACAGATGATTCAGATATTATTGCAGGTAATAAGCTTTCTGTACCTGTAATCAAAAAAAAGTATATGTATGTACATATAAAGCATAAAATTTAATTAAATTTGTTGCATTCAATTAGTGCTGATTCACACAGGACGTTACATCCCTCCACCGTCCAATTCACCTAATTATCCGGATTACGATCTTTGTGCTACAATAAGGGTTTTACCAAAATTGGTTCAGTATACGGCGACTGTACGAAATCAATATCAAAGTCGATCATGGGGCAATCATCATGGTGTTAGTTATAAAATTGAAAATGTTCGCAAAATGAAGGTATGTTATTTTTAACCTAAAACACTATCATTTTTTTTTCCTGAATATTAATGCTAGTAAATAAAGAACGGAGAAGCTATTGGACGATCAATAGGCCATGGCAGAAAAGAACGCCTTCGAAAGTTTCATAAAATGAGAAAACGTGCATTTGAAGAAAGTGAACTTAACCAAAGCGATGATCCTGTTATTGTTTTCAACAACGAAGGGGATCCATGGTAGGGCTATTTTTGTTATTCCGTTTATACATTCGCTATATTATAGTTTATATTCATTGCTATTATATTAGCTTTAAGTATACCCCTCAATTAATGGCGGACGATGAATTCGTGAGAAAACGACTTAGAAATGAAGTAATGTATTTGGAGAATGACGATGAACGGTAAGTGCGAGCTTTATTTTCTGAAATATCTGAATCTTTTAATAACGAGTTGCCTTTACATAGTTATGAAATATCCTATGATGAGACTAAAGATAAATATCGTTTTGCAATTGTATCATCCTCCGTACATTTGGGACCGCCAGTACCATTAAAGGATCAAGAAAGCTCTCCCAATAAAATACAGATATTCCCTTTGCCTTCAAGCTTGGAAGATTCATTTCGTGATGATTTGGATTATCACGAAATGACTTGGAATATTGTGGGTGTAATCGTTGCAGACAAAACCAACCCGTTACATAGTTTACTATGTATTTCTAAACGTGTATTTTGGCGTGATCGAACTGTATGAATCCCTAGAATGTTATTTTTCTTTTTACGATGAGTAGAATTAAAATTTTTAACAATGTGACTAATATCTAAATGTGTCAAATTTTGTAACTTGTACATATAATTATTAAGTTATTGTGCAAACGTAGTTTATTATTTAAATTGAATTTTTATCAGTTTCCGAATTTTGAGCGTGACAAAATGTAGATTTTAGTCTTGAATGATTTTATGTATATAATAAATGTTATCAAAGTTTGTGTGAAAATTTTTGATTTGTCTCATAGTTTGCAGGCTATTTTAGAAAAGTTTGTCCTGAAAAACCTGCGTGAGTGAAAACCTGGAAACGAAGAAAAAGGATCTATGGAACATGCAAGTTTAGAGCAGAATAAAATTTATTTCGAAATAAACATGAACAAAAATGCAAAAGAGATCAACTCACTAAAAATAAGGACGTTTTCTCTTGTTCTCAGAAAAAGGTTTTCAATAAAGTTCACAAACACGAAAAGTGTAAAAAAAAGTAAAAATAATAGTTTCTTTAAATAATAAAAAAGTGCTATAAGAAAACAAAGAAAATATTTTAGGTTCAGATTTAGGCAAAAAGAAACTGGTAAATTTAGTCAAAAAGAAAAACTAGTATAAAAAAAACCATTTCTGAAAATTTAATAAATTGGGATAATCAAATAGAAAAAGAAACAAGAAATTAAAATCCTTTCTACTCAAGATAAAAAAGAAAACAATACTAACATGTCTAAAGATAATGCAAATATAATAATAAATAATACATACAAGAAAAAAACAACAACAAATAAGATTAAAAAAAAAAAAAACTGTTGCTACATATATTTGTTGTGTTGTTTATGTTAAGGTAAGTACTTATAATTCAGGATTTTATTAATAGTATGTTTTAGCTAATAGCTGTTTGTACAACAATTACAAGGGCAATTATAAAAAAAGTATATAACTAGTTACTCATACAAATTTAGTCATTATCTAATTTAAGTAGTTTGTTTAAAGGTTTTATATTAATTATTATATTTAGAACCTACTTATAGGTTTTTTATTTAAACATTTTAGTTTTTATATTCATTATTTACCTATCTGTTTTACCAACTGTTTTGATTAATATTAATAAAAATATGTCATGATTACAAAGTTTTTAAAGTAGTTTATTCAAATAGTAAAACTTTAATTTTGTACTAAGTTCATTATTATCAAAATTTTTAAGCAGATTTATATTGATATATTGTTTTTAATTGATATATGTTGATTAAAAATAATCAATATGATCTCTGGGTTGATAGTGCAGTGATTAGTGTTCTGAGGGTTACAATTGCAAAGTTGCCGATTTGAGTCCAACTGGAAAATAAAAGCTATGCCAAGATCATGATTGAAAATGATCTTTAAGAGAAGCTTTTCATTTTCAGATGAATTACTACAATGATAAATAAGTTGTATGACATAGCCACAAAGGTCATGTAACACTCAGAAAAAAGAAAATCTGACAAAAAACCTTATTAATATAAGGTTTCCTAGTTTAAAGTAATATAAAAAAATAAATAATAGAAGAATAATTTGGTTGGTAGGTCATGTAAAGTTAGAGAACTGCAAATCGAATAAAGATAATAGGTTTTATATTGCAGAATCAGGGACCTGGAACATCATATGATGGACTTAACAGAGTATGAGCTATCTTATGAGCATGGTGATAAATATAGGGGTCACTTGCTATCTGATGATCTTTGCAGAATAATAATTCTGATCTTTAAGAAATGTGACAAATCCTAAAGGTGTCTAAGGATCTTCAGAATAATGGAGGAAAGTAAAATCAAAAAAAAAAATAATCAATATATATTAATTATATGTTATATATTAATATATATTATTAATAATAAATAATGATTTTTGATATATAATGATATTAATGAGACATGGGGGGAATATGCAGATTACCTAATATAATCGGTAGTAAAACAAAAATCCAAGTTAGGTGTAAGTGGGATACAATACAAAGCTCTAGTAGGTTTAGATCACAGATAAAGACATCTGAGTCCTATGTCTAAATAGATATATAGTGATAAATAATGTATGATAAAAAATTGTACTAGCTATAACCAATATACTAATAAAAACTTGAGGGCATAACCTCATCTTAATAATTAAAAAAAAAAAAATATAATGATATTAAATAATTATTATTACTATTGATTAGTAATAATTTTTATAAATTTTATTAAATATTTTCAAAATTTAATTTAAATTTTCTTAATAACTACTAATCTAAATTGACTTAAATCTTTACTGTAGATAGTATATATGTTTAACTATCTTATATTAAAATTTTAACTAATTTAGATTAATAGTTTATAAGAAATTATTTGTAAATGATAGGTAATTTTTTATAAAAAATTAATTATCATTAACAAATGATTTCTTATAAACTATTAATCTAAATTAGTTAAAATTTTAATATAAGATAGTTAAACATATATACTATCTACAGTAAAGATTTAAGTCAATTTGGATTAGTAGTTATTAAAAAAATTAATGTAAAAGATTAAGAATAGAAGGTAGTATTTTAAAATTATATATAAACTTAATAATAAATTTTTTTTATATTTAATTTTATAAAAAATTATATTAAGTAACTAATTTTAATTTATAAAAAAAGTTTGTAAAATAGATTTTTCTGATTCTAATATTAGTAAAATTATTAATATTAAATAAAAACTTAGTAAGATAAGACTTTTTAAAAATTAAGTATAAAAATTTATTAATTAAGTTAACTTATAGAGTTATATAAATTAACTAATTAAATCTAATAATCTTATATAACCTTGTTAAATTTTAGAAAACTCTAAAAAACTTTGTATATTGTTATAGAATAAATTATTATTATTTTATTATTATTATTAGTTATTATTATATTATTATTATTATTATTATTATTATTATTTAGTATTAGTTATTTCATTATTGTATTATTATTATTACTAGTAGTTGTTAGAACTTTTCAGTTGATTAGTAATTGTTTAGTCACTTAGTCACTTAGTTGCTTAGTTGTTTAGTTGCTTAGCTGCTTAGTCATTTAGTAATTAGTCACTTAGTAATCATTAGGCATTAGTTGCTAGAACATTTTAGTTACTTAATAATTGTTTAGTCACTTAGTTACTTAGTCGCTTAGTCACTTAATGCTTAGTCACTTAGTTACTTAGTCACTTAGTCACTTAATGCTTAGTTACTTAGTTGCTTAATTACTTAGTCACTTGGTCACTTAGCTGCTTAGCCACAAATATATAAACCCTGCTAAATTCCCAAGTGTAATCAAGCAACAGACACTCTCTTTCCTTTAATATTGTAAACATATCTTAGAATTCTTTAGAAACAGAAACCTAAGGATAGCCCTTCTTGTTATTATTTTAATAAATGGCTTTTGACTATAAACTGTATTGATACTTCCTCTTTAGGGTAATTCCTACAGGCAAGATTTATCTTCTTGTAGTAAAATAAAGTTATTAGTATTGCATTACCTTTCCTGAACTGCCTCAGAGAAGAGTATAGTTTCTTAACAACATCTAACAGAAGCTATACTTTTTTCTTAAACACTATATATATCTGTAAGGGATTTCCTGTGCTGTGTTGTCATTATAGTATAAAAATTAAGAAGGCTTTCACTTATAACATTTGGTGCCTTCTGACAAAAATATTAAATTTTTAGAGAAAAACAAGTCATCCTGGATAAAACATACTCAGATATATTGAAAAAGTTATCTCAGCAAAAGATTCAGATAAGTATTAGTTATTTTGACAAGAGACTCAGATGAGTATTAGTTATTCTAGCAAAGTTCCAGACATAGAAATACTTCTTCTTTTATGGCTTATATTGCTGCTAAACTCTACAATAAAAACATCCAAAGCCATCAACAAGCACATCTAACTAAATCTCACCTTGCAATAGATATACTTCAAGTACAGCATCCAGATTTATCTTGTCTTTAGTGTTACTTCTCTTGATGCACTAGCCTTCACACAGATTTTGAATGATTTTGGACTTAGTATCAAACCAACTTTGCAGCTCAATATTATTCTTCCAAAACTTAGAACAACTTTACCACTTTTACCACCTATATCCAAACCGAATCACAATTCACCTCTGCATTAGAGATATTATTTTTAGTTGTTGATATCAACAAGACCTTGGTGATCCTAGAACAATTGCTTTAACTCTAGTTAGAAGATATACCAACCTCTTTTAACTTCCTATCTTACCTTTTGAATACCAAAATGCTTTTGACCTTCACCTCAATGCTTCTCTAAGTTTTAGTTTTGAAGAACTAGAAAAATTTAGTTAACATCTTGGAAATTTAAAAAGTCCTATCCTACCACCTATCACTAATATTACTTTTATCAATAATATCCCCTTCTTACATGACCTAGCAGATAGTTTAGCTCTATATAGTAAATTAGTTACATCTACTGAACTTTCTGAAAGTCACTATACTCCTAATTAGACTCTACAAATTCCTCTATTACTCACTGACAGTTTAGAAACAGAAGAATATATTACTGCTTCTGTAGACCTTACAAAACCTCTAGTCTAGATCATACTTCTACTGATTCATCTCAACAAACTTTTGAAGATAGTTTTTCTCCTTTATCTTCATCTCAACCTGTTATTTCTCAACCTCAACCCATCACTGTCTAATTTTAACTTATTGTTATTTAATCTCAACCTTAACTTCTTTTTTTACTTCTACCTATTCTTGATAACCTCTCTGACTCACTTGATAACATGGCACAATAGACTTTACAAGATGCTGCACAAGCTATAGTTGACCTTACTAATTCCCTAAACAGAAGTAAAAAAGCTCTCATAAAAGCTGATTTCTTTTATGGTGATAGAACCCAAGATCCAAAACAATGGCTCAAAGATTTTCAAAGAGCTGCTACTGCTAATAAGTAGGATGTTGCTCGAAAATTAAAACTTACTTCTGTATATTTAAAAGAAATTGCACTAGATTGGTG